TTCTGGGAACGTTTGGTAAGATCTGTAAAAACTTGTTTAAAACGTATCTTAGGTAAAGCTTCTTTATATTATGAAGAACTGTATACTGTTTTAGTTGAAGTTGAAGCTGTTATTAATTCTAGACCTATAACGTATGTATACAATGAACCAAATGAACCTGATCCTCTTTCACCATCTCATTTTATAACTGGATCTAGATTGACTGTTTTACCTTCACCTGAATCTAAACTAGAATCTACAAGATCTCAGTTGATTAAAAGATGGAAGCATAGGTAATTAATATTAGAACATTTTTGGAAAAGGTTTTATAAAGAATATTTGTTAGAATTAAGATCAGTCATGTTTTCAAAACCTCCAAAGAATTCTCCCGTGTTTAAAATTAATGATGTTGTACTTGTACGAGAAAATAATGTGAAACGCTGTAACTGGAAGATAGGTAGGATTAAGGAATTATTTCATGGAAGAGATGATAGAATTAGATCTTGTGAGATTCAGTTAGATAAGGGTGTTGTTAGAAGACCAATTGAAAGACTTTATAATCTTGAAGTTCAGTAAAATTGATGCATCCGTTACGGATGCATGGGGGGGGAGTGTTAAGTTTAGGATTGTGTATCCATAGATCGCCAATAGATGGTGGTAGTGTTTGTTTGTAAAAAGAAACTGTGATGTCAATTGTGTATATGTATCAGTTCGTCTTTGGTGTTCGTGAATAAATGTTGTGTGGAAGAACGCTCCTCTGTTTATTACTTTGACTGCGATCAGTCTGATTTATTAGAGATTTACATATATTTTGTTTAACAACCATTAAATTTTTTGACGTTTGTGATCAAGAAATGCACTAGGCGAAAATATGCCCGACGTTAGTTTTCGAAACAAATTTTGAGATGTGGATTCTTCAATCAATTCTAATTTGAAGTTGTATAGCTGCTTTGGTTGCTTTAGGATTGGATAATTAGTGACTCTATGAACTATAAAGGCTTATGTATATCCACCATTTAGAGGATTTTCTAGAAGCTCAGTAATATTTTAGACATTGATCTGCTATATATACACCTCCCATACTCTTATCGTACCCAACAAATGTGGATGGGCATGGTACTACAGTACAAAGTCCGAAACCCGGATGTCCATTATACAGAATGACCTAAAATCCGGACCTCAAAACCGCCAATAACATTTTTCTGGTAGGCTTTACCCATGTGCATTTGATTCCCCTCCCCCTTCTTGCACAATAAAATGTCTGGAGAGTCGTGATTCTTAATTTCACTTCAACACTAAATTAAATACCTTGTTACTGAAGAAACAATCATTTTGGCATAAATTTGTACGATAAATAATTTGGCTCCGCTGCTGCACATCTGCTTGGTACACACCTCAAACCGAAACATTCCACACAGACACATTGTTCATAGAAACATTCCAATTGTTCTATGTGGAAACTGAAACATTCTACATAGACAATAATTTTTGGTTGGCGAATCATTATTTATTATACTTTCCTTTTATCAAAACATGACAACTTGAGGAATGAATTGTAATGGCTAAACAATTTTTTTATATTAGTAATTGAATAATAAAGGGGTATGGTAAACTTTCATGTTGATATTATGCTTGGCAATAATTACAGATTTAGTTTAAATACACTAAAAAAATGTTGACGAGGAAAAATTTATTAAACATTTCTTTCCATATGCTAAAAATAGATTTTGTTGATGATACTCATAAACCCAAAGATTACATTTAGGTCTATTTGAATTAAGAAAAACTGATGGCTAATCTTTGGAATATGGTAACAGGTAGTTTGGCGACATTTTGGTAAGGCGATAAAGATTACTAGCTAGGACTTCAGCAGTGTACATGGATAAAGTCAAGAGTGTGCGCAATACCATTTTTGTGCAATTCTGGGATGTTTTTTTAAGTGAAAATTGGTCGACGTGTACATGGATACCGAGTATGTGCAATTCTTAAAAACGGGGCACGCAGTGGGCGATTCTGCACTGTCTCTCAATTTCACACCTAATCTTCGTCATGATTAAGCACTTTTGTCCCATAAAAGTTCTAGCATAAGCGTAATTCGGTTGGCAGATTGTTGGAAAAAAATGTTGAGTAAAAACAAAAAATGCCTTTACTTCGTGAAAACAAAATGGCGTCCAAAACAAAACTAGCAGGTTGCTGTAGCAGGGTTGGCTGCCAAATGTTCGCCAAAAAATCGCCAAGTTACCATAATCCAAAGATTAACCAAACTGATTTGTTATTCACATAAACCCAGAACCGGTGCCAGGGCTCGTATGGACGTGCCGAGTCGCAGAATTTAGGACCCACAGAGACTGCATCAGGCAGTAAGATATCTAGGGCTGGCCCTCAATAAGGCTTAACTATATGTGAGAATTTATTTATTCAAAACTGATAAGCCTTAAGCATGTGCAAGAAACAGACAAGTATAATAACTAAACTAATACAAGTCAGGCTTAATTGTCTCAGTGCACAATAGTAGCAAGATAAAATTTAACGGAATAACTTGTCGTTAGTCGCCAAGTACATGATGGATAGCCAAATATGTATAGTGAAGGATAGCTAAATTTTATGATGATAGCTGCTAACTTTAAAGGTTTTCGGATATCGCAAAAAGGTGAAATTTTCCAATTAACTGATTTTGTAAAGAAATTTGGAGAAGCGGTAATAAATGAAGATGATATAAAAGAAGTTTTTCATTGTGATGACAATGCTTCTCAATCATCAATCAATTAATGGACGACAAAATCTGTTGTATAGGTCTAGACCCAGAAAATATTGCTACCGAGAGTGAAAAAGTTATTGAAAGTCAAAAAATTTCGATTGACAAGTTAGTCAAAATTCTCGAAACAGCAGTTACAGGACTTCAACAATGTAACTAAACAAGAGATTATGTCTGTCTTCAGAATTAAAGAGAAAGTATTAGCATAAAAAACGAAGCAACTTAAACCACTTACATTGAAAGAAATGTTTAATAAGGTAAACAAATAAATATTAAGCTTCTTTTTGTAAATTTTGATACCTTTTTAGATCATAAATACTTCATTATTTCATAAATTGCAATTTCATATTTTTAATTTTATAATTTTTACATGCCATCTTACTAGATTTAAACTGATTATCTAATATCCGGAATCGAAGTCCTGACAAGTCTGGATTTCGGATTTGGTACTGTGTATGTTTTTTGGAGCCTTTTCTTCTTGTGGTTCATTTTTACAGTTCATGGAAATGATATGTATCAATTTTTTATCAAGCCAGGACGAATAAAGTAAATTCGGCAGGCTTTTTGCATTGTATAACTAGGCTGTAGTATTAATTTCCGAACTTCACTTGCTTCATGTTATCGGGCATATTTTTCTGATTTGTCATCACAGTTCCACGTGATAATTGTCCAGATTTGTATAACTTAGACATCAAGCCTACGCATGTAAAAAATCTGTCAAAATAGATTTCATGGCCTTTGTTTTTTAAGTGCATAACTACATCATGACCTATACCTTTTGCTGACTTTCGTATCTGATCTTTTTTACCACAATAAAGTTCACTGTTATCCTGTATCTGATCTTTTTTACCACAATAAAGTATATCCTAAGCAAGATGCGCAGAGCATCTATATTTTTAATCCACGCTTAGTTGGTTTTATAGGCATATATTGCATGATCTTTAATCTACCTTTAAATTTAATTAGTGCTACGTCAATTGATACTTAACACAATGTGCAAAATGTTGCTGAAATTTGTTTCTTAAATATGAAATGACGGGCTCTTTTTTTTGCATTCGTAAAATTCTCTTCACTATTTTTAACTTCAGTTTCCCCATCTGATAAATGAAAATAATTCCTGATTTCCAAAATTCTTTTTCTGTTCATCATTTTCTTCACCATTTCATTTCCAAGCATTCCGTCATTTGATCAATAATCACTTATTCTTGGTAATTTTACAATACTCCTTATAAGAGGAGCTGTAATGAATGACCATATTTCTTTTATTGATGAATTTTTTTTTCCATTGACAATCAACAGTGCCACGCTTTCTTGCACTGAATTCAGCATATTTATTTGTATCTGTGAGAATTAATTCCCAAAATTTCATTCGTAAGAAACAACTTTACACATTGCAAAGGTGAAGCACCGACAGGTAAATTATGATTTGGTTCCGAAAAGCTGTTAAATGGGGACAAAATTACGACATCATTGTTAACATTAGTAGATTAGGTTTTTACTGCATTTTAATTACAATTTTCTGAAACATCTGCTTCCATATTTGCTCTATGCTCATCTTCAGCTATAAATGATGCTTCTTCATTATCATTTATTTTATTTTCTATTTCTTTCATATCGCCGTCTTCTGATTCCAAATCTGACTCATCTGTATCATGCTTCCCTGTTTTTAGAAGCGAGCAAAACATTGAGGAAAGGATACCGATAGTATTGGAAAATGCTTAGGAGGGGACTAAAGTATTTAAGTGTAATATAAGACAATTAAATAAAAATAGTTCTGGTTGCTTACTTTTGATTACTTACTCACTCAGAAACCTGATATTCCAACTATCGCCTATAAAGAATACCGACAAATATTTCTGACAATGTATATAAACCATAGCATCTTAAACATTATTCTTTAAAATTATTACTCTTTGAGCTGAAGACCACTAAAAACATCTAATGCAAGTATCAAACCATCCTCACATTTCAAATTCTCAGTAAAACAAAAAAAAAATAATTTTTAATGCTTCCGAATTTAAAAGCACACAAAAACCAGACAGTCTCATCTACACATACCTGTATAAATAAATATTATTTTAAACGCACACTGCAGAAAATGAAATGAGATATCTAATACTTTCAGTAATCAAAAATTCAAAAAAAAAAATGAAATAAGATATCTAATACTTTCAGTAATCAAAAATTCAAATCAAGTCATAAACAAAAATACAGATAACTTTGTACTGTTTTATTAAAATGAATGATAATGAATTATGCATGTTACCTGTTCGGTTTTTATGAACACTATATTCTGTTCCCATTTTGGAAATACATTCATACAGAAAGACTGCATTTACGCAACCTTTCTTAGCGAAACAGAGGATCACAGTAAAACAGTCGGTTTCATTTTATACAGAAGAAAGCATATCAACATAATATGTCATTATGCTTAGTTATCACTAAGTGACTCCGAAATGAAATCACAAGACATCGTCGATACACAGCGAAAAAAACACTCCACCAATAAACATTTATCTCTCCAAATAGTTTGCGAATCAAAAAACTTTACAAAATTTGAACATCAGGGACTATTCCTATTCCAACAGGAACAGAGATGGCGCTGCGTATTCTAAACAAAGAATATGTATTGACGTTCTTTGTTTGCATAGACGTTCTTTCTTCTAAACGAGTTACAAAGTTATAAACTGGGTTTCGTTCAAGTTCCGTTGCTCCTGATATATAAATTTTCACATACCCTGAATATTTCAGCCGCAAGATTTGCATGATATTCTCGATTTCTTCAGTCATTTACGCTAATTAAACACAGAATAAAGAATTAAATAAAAAAAAATAAGAGGACTCGAAATGGCTCGAATCATTAGGATATTTCCGAATGCAAAATCTCAGGAAGGCTAACCGCTTAAAAAAAAGGATCAAGGAATGGTTCAATTACGAGGCTCATAGGCTTAATGCCTTTAGCCCCACATCATCAAAGATTAAATAATTATCATCAAAAAGAGGGTTCGGTAAAGAGGTAAAATTTAGTCTCGAATTGTCAAAGTAACAAAAGGTAAACTGACTTCCACAGTGAAAGAAAAAAAAACAGGTAAGAAACTGAAGGACTTAATTAATTTAGTAATTTTGAGATCGAATAAAGGGCCAGAATCAATTTCGACGGGTTACATCATGATTTTTGAAAAGATTCGATATTTCCTTGATCAATGATCTTGTAGTGTTAACTACACGAGAAAGGAAGCACTCGCGAAAGATCATTCACGTCGCAAGTGATTCGGGTCTGAAGAGGGAAAGATAAGGCAAAGAACGTCTATGTCTAACAATACATATTCTTTGGATAAGACTCCTCTAGACGTTATAGGAGCCTTAGGGAAAGAGGCAGGGAACTTGTTGGTCGCCGCTTTTTCGGATGGCCCAGTGTTACAGTCCGTTGGGGCGTCAAACGTCAAAGTGTAAAAAACGCTTTCCGCGTACGTCAGTTCACAACAGTGCGACAACTTTCGCTTTAAAAGATGTCATATGCTCGCAGAATGCAGTGGTTTATATTAATATGTGAGAGATGATAAGGAGATGCAAATAATTTAATTGAAATGCGCTTGAACGAAACGAAATTTCTTTTAACTACTTTCGCATGAAACCTCATCAATTCGATGAATTTCTAGCTCTCATTGAACTATTTATTCAAAAGCAGAACACTAATTTTTGTCAGAATATCCCAGAAAAGAATCGTTTGCACTGTAGGAATAGGATATCCCAGTAAAGGATCGTTGTATATATCCAACGCTGTATATATCTAATTTAATTTATTTATGAATTTTTGAATGATAATTAAAAAATCCGAATTGCATGATTCTATTTTGGAGAGTAAATTTTTCATGGGGTAGAATACAATAAATGTTTTTGCATGATTTATGAACTTCCCTTAAATGCTTCCTTAAATAAACTTCCCTCAATTGATTTAAATAATGTAATAAAAAAGTATATTTTGTTTAAATATATGCAGGATTTACAGCATTACTAAATTAAAAATCACACTTAAAAAATAGTTATTTATAAAGTAATAAACAAAAGGAATTATTTTTAAGTTAAAAAATATATTAGTTTCTGCCGTATGTACATATTTTTTACCTTAAATGTAATAATTACTTCATCTAGTCATTCATATATTAATGAACAGCCACTATCTAAAGGTTTATTTTATAAGGTCACTTTTATTTAAAACTCCTTGAAGCAACTGCATTTTATATAATTCTTCATTTCTTGCGTTAAAAATTGATTTTCATAATTAGCAAATTTGCTAATGCTCATGCAAAAATTCTTTAAATTAATGAAAAATTATCATCAAGATTAAACCTGTCGAAAAGTGGTCATGCATGTTAAGAAAAACAAACATGAAGCCATTAAAATGCACAGTAGTATTCCGTAAAATCAGCTTCATACTAGCAAGCTTCTTTTCTGTCTAAATAACAGTTTTCTTAATTTTTTTAAAGAAATGGTTTACTCGTCACCACTCGTTTTAAATTCAGAACTCACTAAATTTTTTAATTAGATGAAACAGCAACTTCATACTAATAAATCAGTATCGCTTTCGCTAGTCTCGTGTCAGCCGAATGTCAAAAGAAAGATAGTGCACACAATGCCCAGCGAAAATTAGGTTTATATGAATGATGAATGAAATGAAATGAAAAATAAATGCAAGCTTCTTGCATCCACCCCCCTCTAAAAAAAGTCGCGGTAGATTTAAAAAAAAAAGTGTATTCGAACCATCATCAAAGGTAGGAAAAAGCAAGGCCCTAAGCCGCAACACAAGTCCTTTGTAAAAGCTGAACTTTCTGCTGAGCATGTTACCTCTGAGCTAAGGTATCTCACGGCTGGGAGAGATTTTTCACACTTAACGTTCGGAAAACTGAAAAGCATTCCGGTTACTCTGAAACTAGCAATAATATTTTCTGTAAGTATTTTTTTAAAATACCAACTCCATTATATTACCAATTCTGGTGACAATTGAATCTAAAATCTTTAACTCAAGAAGCTGACGTTTTATCCACTAGGCAACAACAGCAACCTTAAATTGATGTAGATAAAATTTAAGAAATATTCAAAATATGGGATTTCGAAATCGATCACTATTTTCTAGCAACAATCTATTGCTTTAGATTATTCTATAGAGATTATGAACCATATATAATTTATGGTTGATTATTAAGGTTTATTACTGCTAATAAACTTGAGAATTTTCCTTCAAATAATTTACAAAGCTATTTATTCTATTAGCACATGCATTTTTTTTATTATTATCTGAAATTTTTATTAAGATTAATCCATTTGGCCTTTTTTTTCATCAAGAAAAAATTTTGAGAGTGCAGTCATTTAAAAACCATGGTATAAACTGGATGTTTGAAACCAAGGAGGTTAGAATAGAACTCACGCGAAAGCAACTCACGCGGTTGAAGCAACTCACGCGGTCTCCGGCCATTCGGCAAATGCCGCCTGCATATTCACAAAGCCTACAGACAATTTCGCTACGGGCTGCTCTCATTGGAGGAAACATCTGCTTGGCGGTCATATTTGGAATGGCGAGTTATCGCCCTGTAGGCGTGGTAATTAACGCCAAACAAACGGAAACAGCGTTTATTTCATTCAATATTTTTTTAGTTTATAAATGAAAGCTTAGAGGAATTGTGTGCAATATATCATAAATAACCTAGTGATCTTATTAATAGTTCATTTGTATTTGAATTAAACTTTTAAAAGTACGTAATTGTTTTACAAGAAAAGGTGTTTATATCGAGACAGCATATGCACTTTTTCCTTATTTCACTTAGGAAGAGTCTGTTGTGTAAATTTTCATAGCGCATTAATTTATACAATTAAAGGAATATTAAAAAATTAACCAAATGAAAACATTCAGTAAACATTTAAGGGTGTCGGATACCTGTTCTTTTTACGAGTAAATATAACTAAAATTATATTTTATTCAGTTATGCGCTATATCTATTAAAACGCTTTTCGAGATCTTGGATCGTAATCTTACTTACTGGTACCTACTACAAAGAGTACAAACCAGTAAATAAAAAAAAAGAAAAATTAACATTAACAAAAATAGAGAAAATAAAGGCGTTTAATTTTTAACACCGTACCCGAAGGCGAAAAGACAAATAATGACAAAGACATTCAATAAAGTTAAAATAAAAATAAATCCGTATAGAGCAGAGTTTATGAAAGCTACGAGCGGGGATAGAACCGGCGACCTAGAAGTCTGAGAATTTTTCTCGCGCTCGTTACCACTGGTCTGCGGTTTCTCCGGTGGGTTATGCTCACTTTTTGGTACACGACGCTCAGATACAATTCGTAAAGGCGATAAATCAAAAGTCGCCAAGCACTAGATTCTGTAACCCTACCTCTTTTAACCAATCGGAGCAAACAGCAGAAGAAACGGTCTGTAGGCTTTGTGAATAAGCATGCCGCCTCTGAACTCGCGCTTTACGCGCGACCACGTTGGTGTGAATGCAGCTTTACGGTTGAAAGAAATAACAATTGCCCGATTACAGGACAAAGAGATTGACCCTGAGCGAAGCTGAAAGAACAGCGAATTCACTCAGGCGGGGGGGGGGAGGGTTAGTGAACGAGTTGAGTGATGACCTCGAGGCGCCTCGTCTCCATAGCAGCGCCTCTTAGGAAATGGTAACGCATTACTATAGGCGCTTTCTAGAGTGGCTCTGGGTCTTTTTCTGGATGATAAATAGGCAATGAATGGAGAACGGGGTTACCGACCCAAGGCATCTTTTTCAAAAAGTTAACCGAAACTCGCGGTATAAAGCGATTTAAGGGAAGAATTTTGGCTGCAGTATGAATGTCATCGTTCATAACAAAACAAGGAGCTTTGTAGATCTGCCGAAGCATAATATTTTGGAAAATTTGGATATGTTTCCTGTTAGTAATTGCTGCTGCGCCCCACACGGGACTTACGTAAGTCAGAATAGGCCTCTCATTGATTTATAGAGCAGGATCTAGATTTATAGTCAAGTCTGCTGACGAGTGGAAAGAGAATGTCGACTCAGGCGAGAGCAGTTCGCAAAATTCAGGCACCCGCGCGGCAGCGCTATCCCGGGCTAACCATCTTGAGGATTTTCGATCTGTAATGTGTCCGAGCATAGAAGAGGGAGAACATTAGGTTGAAAACATCGTACGGAAAAGCAATTACAGAGTTTCCGAAGTAGACATCACGTCGATCAGGAACAGTGTAGGAAGTGGGAAAAGTTCTCGATGAAATGTTTCAGGGCTACATAAGTGACGACGCTCAAATTAGGCTAAGAAATGCAACAAAGACGAGAAGTACTTTAACTTAGGAAGAAGCAACAATTAAGGAATGCAAAAACTCCCAACAGTCTTAACCAAAGCAAGAGATGGTACCAAAAGTTAAGCAGTTAAATATAAACATTTAAATACAGAAAATTACATATTTTTAAACATTCTATTACATATTTTTATAAATGTATTATAGAATTAATTTTTGAGAGACCTACTGAGCAATAGCACAAAAAATGCGACATAGGAAGTTAATATAAAGGGCTTATTTCGTTCATAATAGAGTAGAGGATGTCA